ACCCTAGCGTTTGTGAGATATTAGTGCTAACCACTAATCCACGGAGCTGTTGTACACTAAACCTGCCTGTATTTCTGTGGTGTGAATCAATCCTAGGTCACTGGGCAAGGTCAGTGTAACTAGCCAGATATCTCAAATGCGACACAAATGTTGTGCTATGTTGCCAATTCAGATGTATGTTGGTTCTATGTATCCCAATACAAAGTATTGCAATACTAATACAGGCGTACCACGGTTTACCAACGCCTCAGTTAACGTAATTTTTGGTTTATGAATGAAAATCCATTAAAAAATAATGCCTCGGTTTACACAATTGTTAATAATTTTTTTCGCAATACAAAGTGTATGTCGGCGCCGATTTTCAAATGCAAATGCCAGCCTTTTTTTTTTTCTTCACTATAGTTCACAAGCTTAGAAGTCACTTTCCCCGAAGTTACAGAAAACTTTGTATCTTTAAATAAACTCAAAGTAAACATTGTTTCCTTTAGGGATATAAATTCCAAGAAAACTTTCTCTTTTAGCTGGGGGAAGTGACAGGTGAATTTCTGAGCTATAGTGAAGAAAAAAAAAAGGGAGAATTACATTTAAAAACCAGCACCATAATAAATAAAAACGGCATGGGGTCCCCCCTTCCATCCACACCAAGCCCTTCGGGTCTGGTATGGATATTAAGGGGTAATTCCACGCTGAAATTAAATAAAAAACAGCTTGGGGATTCCCCAAAATCCATACCAGACCCTTATCCGAGCATGCAGCCCGGCAGGTCAGGAAAGGGGGGGGGGGGAACGAGCGAGCGCCCCCCCTCCTGAACCATACCAGGCCACATGCCCTCAACATGGGGGGGTGCTTTGTGGCAGGGGTCATCATTGATGTCACATGGGGCGAGGTTTCTCGGATTATGTCCCCAGCTGGCTCCGCCCCTAACCTATTTAAGAACTGCCAGGTAGCCTTTTTTTCAGAAGGCTGGAAGCCTCCGACGGGAACGGAACTTTTTTTTTTTTCTCTTTTTTCGGGTCCCCGCCACCGTGATTGACGTTGGATCTACTTCGGGGGACATTATTTTAATAAAGGACTTGTCAAAGACCCTGTACTGTGTTTTTTTTACACTACACTTTGTTTTTTTTGTGAAGGAGTAGCGGGACCATGTACCACAGACTCCTTCACGTGGGGGGGGGCCGGGATCTGGGGGCTTCCAGCTTATATAGGTATGGGGCAGGGCCAGCCGGGGACATCATCCCCTCCCCTCACCTATTTAAGAAATGTCACCCTGTCTCTCCACTGAGGCTAACTAACTGAATGCAGGAGACAGTCTGACAGTTCTTATATAGGTATGGGGCGGGGCCAGCCTGGGACATCATCTGAGTGACGCCACCCCATGTCACGTGCTTGCTGTTCCCAGCTGGCCCCGCCCCATACCTATATAAGAAATGTCAGCTAGCCTTTTTTTCACAAGACTGGAAGCCTCCGACATGAGCGGAACTTTTTTTTTTTCTTTTTTCGGGTTGCCGCCACTGCCGTGATTGACGTTGGATCTACTTCGGGGGACATTGTTTTAATAAAGGACTTGTCAAAGACCCTGTACTGTGTTTTTTTTTTACACCACACTTTGTTTTTTTTGTGAATGAGTCGCGGGACCATGTACCGCAGACTCATTCACATAGGGGGGGCGGGATCTGGTGGCCCCCTTGTTAAAGGGGGCTTCCAGATTCTGATAAGCCCCCCGCCCACAGACCCCCACAACCACCGGCCAGGGTTGTGGGGAAGAGGCCCTTGTCCTCATCGACATGGGGACAAGATGCTTTGGGGGGAGCCCCCCCTGCCCCAAAGCACCCCCCCATGTTGAGGGCATGTGGCCTGGTATGGTTCAGGAGGGGGGGGGCGCGCTCGCTCGTCCCTCCCCCTTTCCTTTCCTGACCTGCCGGGCTGCATGCTCGGATAAGGGTCTGGTATGGATATTGAGGGGGTCCCCACGCTGTTTTTTTTTAAAATTTCGGCGTGGAGTTCCCCCTTAATATCCATACCAGACCTGAAGGGCTTGGTATGGATGAGAGGGGGGACCCACGCTGTTTTTTTTTTTTTTTTTTTTTTTTTTTTTTTTTTTTTTTTATTGCGGACCTTTTATTTTTACATTCAGCTGTCAAAATAAATATTATCTAGACCTTCGAAATGAGTAAAATCATTACAGAAATAATTATAAAGGATAAGAAACAAAAATAGAATCACTAGAACTAAGGAAATCAAATTAGAATACATAAAGATATGCTTAGTGCTGTTTATTAAACACAGTAGGCGCGACCGAGTGCCGGCTGTCAGAGGAATCCACACTGAGATTTACTATTGAGCAGTGGCTAAAAAGCAAGCGCCTGCAGAGGACGTCTAAAATGTGTTCTGCACATGCTCAGTTATATCGGCCAAAGACACTGCACAGGCGTCTAGATTTTTACTGTGTCGATTTCCTTTAAAAAAAACTATTTTTAACACATTCTTAATTTTTTTGAAATAGCAGATATTGTTTAAAGTGAAGTCCTGATATTTGGCAAAGCAAATTTCTAAGTGAACATGTCTCTCAGTGATTTTTCATGGTGTTAGACGTGCTTCTTAGCAAGTCTGCTTTGTGAGTCTGATTCCGGGCGTGTGTCTTGTTGTAAATTCGATTGGGCGTCTACTTATGGGTGCTGCTCAATAGTAAATCTCGTTGCGGGGTAGAAGTAGACGGTCGCTCATAAAAATTGGACGTTCACCCACGAATATGCGCCCACACCCAATAGTAAATCAGGGCCATTATGTCTGCATCACCAACAGGAGGCTCTTCAAGATATTTAATGTCTTTCTTCTTGAATAGTTATAATTTCAAGAATTGATTATAAAACAAAAATTTCTTATTTAAATTGCCCTACTCATCAGAGATAATTTTCCTAATTATATCAATCATTGGGAAGCCACAAATCTCTTTTCATATGTTCTTAAAGTGTAGCTCCAGTCAAAACGTAAAATATTAAAAGTCAGCAGCTACAAAGACTGCTCACTTGTCCCACTATCCAGCAGTGTGCTCACTGCAGCCGGTTTCACCGGTCGTCCTCTTTTCCCAGAGCTGGCATCTTAAGTGTGGGCACCTTGATGTGACAGCTTGCAGCTTCACACCCGGGTGCCCACTGCACATATGCGAGTAGCGCTTTGTCACATGTCCCAAGGAGGGGGGAGGACAACTTCCACTGTGACCGCCTAGGTGATCGGAAGCAGAAGTGGCTACCTATCAAAATCAGGTACCCACTCCCCAAAGGTGCCAATCCTTAACTGGGAGCAGGGGATGAGGCCCTTAAAACAGAAATTACCCTTTTGAGTGTGGAGCTCCACTTTTGGGTGGAGCTTCCTCTTCTTCAGTTGGTTCTTAACTGTATCGTCCCTTAGTAGTGTGTGCATAACTGCCTTAACAAAGGAATTTGCTGCGGCAAAGTCAAGACCAGCCACTTGATCACTCTCACCATCTGAGTATGAATCTGAAAATGTAGTAGATCCAACATTTTCCAGGGGTATTCACAAGAATATCCCTATATATAAGGTGGTATATATTATATATATATATATATATATATATAATAAAAAATATAAGGTGGGTATGGCTGAGAGTCTACGGTGTGAGAAGTAGAACTTAACTCTTGTGCAGAGGACCATATTTGACTAGTGAATGATTCAGTAGCATTTTATTCAGAACACAACATGCAAATTGCCTCTTTATTTCTTGTAGTCACAATGAAACAATTTTCACAAGCTGTCTCTCCAGGCAATTCTAACCAGCGCTGGATGTCCAACTGATTCCGATCCTGTCAGAAGTTCTCCCAGGCTGTTTAAAATTGGTGCAGTTTAGTGGTGGGCTGGAAATTCAGCGTTCAACATCAGGCACCAGAATCAGAAATTATTTTGTTTGCTTTATGCTATTGATTTGAACAAAGCCCTCCTGCATTGAAAACTGTGTTTACTGTTTTGCTGAATAAAAAAGTAGGAAAAACTATGGATATGGACTGTCCTTGTCTTGTGCATGGTCTATCGCTGCCATCCATTACCAGTTGATAGAAATGGATAGAATATATATATATATATATATATATATATATATATATATATATATATATATATATATACACACACACACATACACAGAGAGAGAGAGAAAAATTCTAGTAAACAAAAAAATTTACAGGACCCTCTCCAAACATGCATTTAAATAAAATGCTCGGAGCGAAGCTATAAAAATGTTTATGTGTGCCACTATTATTGGTTATCGCTGCAGATGCCAGAGTGAGCGAAATAATTCCAGGGCCGTTATTTATGGTGTTTTATTTTTAGTCATGTGCTATAAAAGTTTTTAAAGTGTCGTCCATGAACAATTTAGGGAGCTCTCGCACTTCCCTGCTGTGCTTTTGCCACAGCATGGATGCCGCACAGTGTACTCACGGTTTTGGAGCAGGTTAGCTGCACTTTGCCATGGACCTCTATTATGTCCTGCTGTTTTGGATTGCTTTCAGAAAATGTCAGCGAACCTGCACCAAAACCACAAGTACATTACACTGTGGTCAAAGCACAGTGGGGCAGTGTGAAAGCACCCTTAGGGTATAATTGTTTTTTTTTAGTCATTTCACTTATGCAAACAGTTTTAACATGTTTTCATATTTTTTTACTCAACAGTCTAAGCTTTTCTATTTTGAAAAAAAAAAGTTTTTGTAGGCCTCTTGTTTCATAGCAACCAATCTGGGTTTTTTTTTTTTTCACTGACCTCTGAAATAGATAGCTTCTCTGCTACTAGGGGCAACACAGCATTTCCATTCATGCAACTTGAATGCTTAAAGATTTTTGTCCTTGTTCGTTGGGGACTTCAAGTTGAGTTTAGAATTTAACTGTCTATTTAAAAATAGCCCTGCTAGATGATACCTAATGTCCTACAACATTTGTAATATCAATATATGCTAACAAGATTAAGTATTGTTTTCTATCTTGTGATATAGGACAGAGCTGACGGCAGCTCAGGAGGGTGCAGAAATAAAGATTACAGAACTGGAACAGAGGCAGCAGGAACTGCAAAACTTCATTCAAAATCTTTCTTTAGACTTGCAGAAGGTCAGTGACTCTTACAGAATTGCACTGTCGAAAAAGAAGGAATTAAGAGAGCATGGATATTCCAAATGTATCAAAACTTAAAAAAAAAAAAAAAAAAAAAAAAAGTTTGAAAGCCTAAACAAGTCCTAAGGTATGGATGCACAACACCTTGCAGTACTTATGTCTGTATTAGATCCAGCCATGTGGTGACCCCTTTTTCATACCATATTCAATTGTATGTTGCATGTAGGCATATGTGCTCTATATACCATTTGAACATGATCTGCAATCACCAGAACGATATGTGAAAGGCCTGTTGTTGCATATCATCAGTTGGCCACCTAACAGACTTTTATTATTTGCTCAGTAATATCCATATTGTACATTACTCTGTGGACCGTGGGGTTCTGATTCTGCTCTACACTTGCATGCTGTATCTGCCATATACTGTACCTCAAAACTCAAGCTGGCTTTTTTTGATGACAACATTCCCACATTATTTGGCTATTAGAAGCTTAAGGCAGAATAAAACCCCACTTTTTTTTTTTTTTTTTTTTATAAAGATCAGCCTAAAGGTTTATGCTAAAATGTGCCAGTATGCACTGCTGTCAGCTCTCTTGCTGGTCATGGTGCTTTCACATTCTCCTGGTCTTTCTTCCGGATTCACCCTCTTCAGCTGCTTGAATTTCTGGGCTGCTATGACATCGCTCCCATGCATACGCATGGTAGTCACTACAGCACAGAGCAGCTCTGTAAATGTATGCTGAGATGTGCATGGGCTGACAGGCAGGTAGACGAGTTTATGACAGAAGAGACTAATAAGGTATTTTCTGTCATAAAAACCCTACCTGTTGGCATTTGAATTTTTTCAGTTTTTCTTTTTAAGATATTTCTCCTGGGTAACGTTATCCTTATGTAGCTTTTGGAATCTTGATTTATGAGAGGTTCACTGAGGTATCAACTGGATTTAAAGCACTGACTCATTTTACAGTTGTTTGATCTGAAAACTAACCTCTATCATAAGGATTAAAACATAATTTGACAGACAACTTCTGCATGGGGCATACCAGCTAGAGACGAGGAATTGTAAAATAGAGCTCTGCTGCCAATCCTACTCCTATTTGTAAAAAAACACCTTAACAAATGGTCAATACAACAAATCAAAATGATCAATATTAGTGTACTACAAAACATCTCCCCCATTCTCGGAGTGAAAGTTGAATAGTATTATACCACTACTCCTGTTTGTGAAACCAACTTGCCAAATAAAACAATGCATCAATAATTTTCCAATAATTGGTGTACTACAATACATCTCCTTTCTACGTAAGGTGATATGAATGTGTTAATGTGTAAATCGCAACTTCTGTGCATCAAATATACAAACCATATGTGTGTAAAATATTAAACCAATGTCCAACACTTATGAACCAGTCATTTCTACTTGACAAATGAATGGTATTCCAGTACTATAGCACACCTCCCACATCCATAGAGAGGATATTAGTGAAATAGTGATCTGCATGATATCAAATTATAACAGTCCAGTGATCAGGGTTGCAGAGCTCTGTGTTCTGCATTCATCACCAGTGGGTCACCTCCACACCCACTGCACTGTCCTCCCTGCACTGTGCACACCTCTCATCAGTCGTCTGTGACTGGGGAAGATCTCTGAAGAGTATTGAAACCAGATACTTAAGGTTTTGGGGTTTTTTTTTTTTCTTCCCTTTTGATCATTTTAACTTCATGACCTGGGGGGAGGAGGAGAGAATGGACACTCAGTACTACAGAGGCTAAGTCTTTTTGAAAAAAATATATAAATACACCCATATTATTTAAAAAAAGTTAAGGTATTTCTTTTTCATAGGAGCCTGGAAAGTGTAACCACAATCAGTGGATCAAGGGTATAGTAGTCTGGCACCTGCAAATTTTTTCTGCAGCCACTGATCCGTACTGAGATGTATCAATAGCGTACTTTGACGGGCAGGCCTCTCTTGTATATTATCACACGTTTTCTTAGATGAAATACATTGATTTTTAGTTACTTTTATAATATAGCCATGAACATACAGTTTGACTTTATTTTTAGGCTCAGTCTGTTGGCTGTAGCGGTGAGAAGAGATTAACTGAAGTCCAGGAAAAGTATGAAGCACTAAATTTGCATCATGAACAGTTTAAGTCCAAGGTATGGTTTGCCATTTACGCTCAACTCTTGAATTCCTTACTAGATGCTTCTAGAGCTGCAGTGAAAACTTTTTTTTTTTTTTTTTTTTATTAGAAGTGAGAAATCCTCTGTTAGGTTTTATTCTAAGTCTTCATTGGGTGATGTTCCTCCTTGCTCCAGTGACACCTAGTAATTTGGGATAGAATGTGGGGAAATATTTTCCCAGGCACAGCAAAGAATTAAAAGGTTTCTTTTTTTTTTTTTAATTGGGTAGTATTTGTTGAGTTTTTGTGTAGTTCACAAAACACAAAGATAAACCTTTGAATCATTCAGAGTAGCAGCAACACAAGTTTCATTCCTTGTTCAAAACATAGGTGCTCAGAGACATCATAATTGCACGCAAATACCACAGTTTACAGTAACATAGGTAGAAAAGTAGTTTGTACACAGTATAACATTTAAAACTGGACTGTGAACCAGTAAAAAAAAGAGACCAAAATACAGAAACATAGGCTTGACGATGAATACAAACCGCTCTCACAATAAATAGTCATAGCCAAAAATCTTGGCACCCCTCCATTTCTGTCAGACAATACACCACTTTGCACAGAAAAATTGTTGCAATTACAAATGTTTAGACATTCTCATGTTTATTTCCTTTTTTTGTATTGGTATGACACAAAAAAGTGGAGATACAAAAAGCCAGATCTAACACTTCCACACAAATCTCCAAAAACAGACTGTACAAAATTATTGGCACGTTCTCAAAATTGTAAAAAATAATTGCAATCCAAGTTTCTGATGCTCCTGTAATTTACAATTAAACTAAACTCATCTGTATTAATAGATCTAAATGTTCCTGTGCCTACTGTACACAACATTGTCAATAAATTCCCAGCCCATGTCACTGTAGCTAATCTCCCTGGACGTGGACGAAAGAGAAAAATTGATCAAAGATTGCAACAAAGGATTGTTCGAATAGTGGATAAAGAACCTTGATCAACTTCCAGACAAATTCAAGCAGATTTTCAGGCACTGGGTACAACTTTGTCCAACTGTGTCAGCTCACACTATACATCGAAATCTAAATAGGGGATTCTATGGTAGGAGACCCAGGAGTACCCTACTGTTGACAACAGTGGGAAAACATAAAAAGCAAGACTGGAGTTTGCTAAAACTTATCTGAAGAAGCCAAAATCCTTTTGGGAGAATGTGCTGTGGATAGACTAAACAAAATTACAGATTTTTGGTAAAGCCCATCATCCTTCTGTTTTCAGAAAAAGTAATGAGGCTTTTAAAGAGAAGAATAAAGTCAAACATGGTGGAAGTTCACTGATGTTTTGGGGTTGCTTTGTTGCTTCATGCACTGGATGTCTTGACCATATGCATGGTATTATGAAATCTGAAGACTACCAAAGAATTCTAGAGTGCAATGTAGGGTCCAGTGTCAGACAGCTATGTCAGAGGTCCTGGATCTTATAGCAGAACAATGACCCAAAGCACACACCAAAAAGCTTCCAGAAATGGTTTATGACAAAATGCTGTAGTGTACTGAACTGGTCAGCAATGAGTCTAGATCTCAATCCCACAGAGCACCTGTGGAGAGATCCCAAAACAGCAGTTGGGAAAAGAAGAGTGGTCCAAGTGGACCTAGAGAGGTGTAAGATACTCATTGATGTTTGCAGGAAGTGATTTGATTTTAGTTATATTTTTTCAAGGGTGTGCTACCAAATATTAAATTGAGGGTGCCAATAATTTTGTTTGGTCCATATTTGGGATTTTGCATGGACTGTGTCAATTTGGTTTTTTATTTCTCCACTTTTTTTGCGTTATACCAATACAAACAAAAGAAATAAAATGAGAATGCCTAAACATTTGTAATTGCAACAGTTTTTTGTGCAAAGTGGGGCATTATCTGACAAAGTCAGAGGTGCCAATATTTTTGGCCATGATTGTAAATTTGACAAATTTGGTAGTATAGGAGACGATGGGCAAGGGGCTTACCATATTTTTTTTTTTATTTGGGTAACCCCTGTTTCATAGGTAATTTTTTCTCTCCCTAATATGGCATTGACTGTATTACACCATTTTAAAAAGGTGGGAGGACAGGATTACAGTTTTGAAGGCTATAGTACACCCCGGGGGTGCTTTACTAAAACCGGAGAGTGCAAAATCTGGTGCAGCTGTGCATGGTAGCCAATCCGCTTCTAAATTCAGCTTGTTCAATTAAGTTTAGGCACCATTTTGAGAATTACGGAATGGTTATAAACCATCGGGGCAGGGCCGTAGATAATTTTTTTTTCCTGGGGGGGGGGTGGAGGTTCAGGCATGAGTACCCAGAGGACAAAAATTAGGCAGCACGACGGCAATGTTGTGACAAATGCTGGGTGTGGCAGAATTAGGAGTACAGCAGTACTACTTCTCCTGTACTGCAGGCCACTTGCTCCCTAGTCCATGCTGGATGTCTCTGCAGGCTCTTGCCAGCATTCTCTCCCACCCCTGGGTCCCATCAATAACCTCTACTGCCTCAAACTGCCCCATGCTCTTTCCCCTTGCCAGTGGGAGGGGCCAAATCAAGCTGCCAATGCAGTGAATGAGTTCTCCTCTCCCACTGCAGTGTTCTATCAGAGAGAGAGATATAATTTTACCCCTGTACAAATCATTAGTAACACCTCATCTGGAATATGCAGTTCAGTTTTGGGCAGCAATTCACAAAAAGAACATTGGGAAACTTGAGAAAGTACAGAGAAGGGCAACCAAACTGATAAGAGGCATGGAGGAGCTCGGCTATGAGCAAAGATGAGAGGAACTGAATTTATTCTCTCTTGAGAAGATATGATCAACATGTATAAATACGGTTCGAGGAGGAGCCTAATCGTGGCGGTGTGAGAGAGAGCGATGTGAGCGCTCTCCGCAGGATAACCGCCCTCCTTCCCTTGACGTTCCCCATGGAAGCTGCTAAACTCCCCGCCTGAGATCTTACGGCAGAGGGGGGGTCCTGAGAGTGAAGTGGAGGAGACGGAGCTGCGGGAGTTCTGGACGGTGAGACGGCTGGGAATCTCTCACCTCTGACTGCTGGGAGTGCGGGTGACGGGAGGTGGTCACGTGACCCGCCGAAGGGCAGTACTGGGAGACGGAGAAGCCGGCCGGCTTCCTGAAGCAGAGGGAGACCCCGGCTTTCCGACCCAACAGAAGAGGAGGGAGAGAGAAACGGCTGGCTTCCTTTGAAACTGAAGCCGCTCGGGCAGAGAGATTTACATGACCGTCGGTACCCACGAGAGAAACGGAGAGAGAGAGAAGAAAAGAGCCTCGGAAAACCCCCCCTTCACCTCTCTCCCCCCCCTCCTCTTCTAACCCCTCTCCCCCCCCTCCCCTCCTGAGCTGAAGGGAAAAGGAGCAGAGCCACACCAGAATGCTGACAGCCTCACTGGAACGAAGCAGCGGGAAGGAGGGTGAGTGAGACTATCTGGATTATATATTAAATCTGTTTATGGATAGCTTCTTGGTGTGGCAGAAGAAATATATATAGAGAAAAAGGGGGAACCACCAAATAGCTTGAAGAAAGTAGAATTTACCTAAAGGACTTATTATCAGTATATATCTTAAAGTTTAAAAAGAGAACTCGGATACAGTTAAAAATATGAAGAGCAAAAATAGTAAAGGGAATGCCCCTAAACACGCCCAATCAGGAACAATTAGAAAATTTACATCTCAAGGTAATGTGACCCCAGAAAGAACTCAGGGGGCAGGTGAAAAAAGTATAATGGAGAACAGTATGGATAAAAGCGCCAGATCTCCAGTAGAAATGGATAATAATCAACAAATATCAGGAGAAATAGAGTCAAAGGAAAATGAAGGAGAACTACAAATCCCAAATAAAAAGGAAATGGCGGAAATGTTTAAAAATTTGGAAAAATCAATTAAACAGGAAATGGGAATTATTCGGAAAGATCTGGGACATCTCTTGACTAGAGTAGAAGATACAGAAGAAAAAATCAATAAACATGCTCAAACTCTTTCTGAACTGAATAATCAGATACTAGAGATTAGGCAAGAACAAAAAAAAACTGGGATATAAACTGGAGATACAAGGTAACATACACAGGAAAAAAAATCTCAGGATAAAAGGAATTCCAGAGCTTATACAAGATAAAGAATTAAGAGAGACGATACAAAAAATCTTAAACTCCATTATGGGTAGACCTAGAACAGAGACATGCATATTGGACAATATATATAGATCAGGAAAGGCCCAACGAGATCGGGCGGAAGAGAGACCGAGAGATGTAGTGGTTCAATTTAATAAAATTGGAGAGAGAGAAGAAATATGGAAGAAGACAAAAGGAAGATATAATATTGAGTATGAAGGGAAAAATATACAAATCTTTGCAGACTTGACACCTGAGACATTATGGAGAAAGAGATCACTGAGACCCTTAATAGAACAGATGAAAAAACAAAACATACAGTATAGATGGAGCGGCTCAATGTGTCTAATCGGATGGAAGAATGGAGTTACTGCACACCTGAGATTTCCTGAGGATTTGAGAGACTTTTTTGACAAACTTAACATTCAAAAAGTAGAGGTTCCAGGTTGGGAGGTTGAGGGAGGGGAAAACGTCGAGGGAAAAGAGCAATGGCAGCAAATTAGAAGAAAGAATAAAGAAGGGATAGAAAGGGGAACATTGAGGGAAATGGAGGGACGGTGAACCGTACAAGGTTAGAGTTCAACCTCAGGGCCAAGATCCAAATGTGACAGTAAGCTCACAAAGGATTAGATGGTAAAAAATAGGCCTGATGGGAGGGGGGGGTTCGAGGGGGGAGGGAGGAGGGAGGGCCAGGGGAGGGGGGAGGTGAAGAGGGAGGGTAAAGGGGGGGGGGAGGAGGTAAAAGATGGTATAGGGGGAAGGTTTTAAAAATACTCTGCATAGGGACGAGATGTACTCAAGAATTATGGAAGATATAAAATTTATAACATATAATGTAAAAGGGTTGAATAGTCCTGGGAAGAGATTTAAGCT